TTGTTAAATTGACTCAATTTCACCCTTAGTGAATATTAACCCCCCCCCCCCCACCCCTCCCCCGCTTCCCACACCCAGACGCTTCAGCCTCATTCGTTACTAGGTATATAGGACATTAATTTAATCAAAAATTCATTATCCTGGGCCCTATTCCCAGCGATCCAACGCTTAAAGTAACACCAATCTTGAGAGAGGAGTTATTTGAGACTCCGGTCTACTTAAATAGAGGTAATCTCATCTCCAGTCCAATGGATCTTCTTAAAGCTAACAGCATGGGACTGCCTTCATCGAAATTTTAAGACCAAGAGGTGGGTTGTAGCACTAGTATAGAACAGTTGCAGAGGAATGGGACGAGGAGGAGGAAGCAGAGCAGTGGGACGAGAGAGCATGGGCATGAGAAGAGCTGACAGTGCGCTTTTGGAGGTCAAGTGCTCGGAAGGTTTTGTGAAACAGGTAAAATGTGAGATTCCCAGAAGAGTTGTCCGGTTTTTTTACTTTTTGTGGATCACTCTCTGAGGGTCGGTAGACTTGCTAGTCCCTGTGTCCGCACTCCACTTACTCCAAACTTGATGACTCAGACTATCTGAGGCCTTTCATTATCTCATTTACTGTTCGCTTTAACCCATTAAATCATTGTATCAGTTAGAATCGCGTTGGAGGGCATAATATCCCAATTTATTCAAAAAATATTTATTTATTTTTTTATAACAAATGGCAGGCGTTTTGATAGTTATCATTAGCCCTTTAGTTGACTTCGGGCTTCACAGAGGGGAGGAGGTACATCAAAGTGAGAAGAATTCAGAAGGGGGAATAGAAGGGTGTATCAAAGATGTAAAATAAACAGACACAAAGGCTCAGAAAGGGTAATATGAGTAGTGGTAGGGGTCGAATATGACATAAAGTGGGGGTGATGGTTGTTTAAAGTGAGAAGTCAACTGCCGATTAATAGACTTTTTGCGCATGAGTATACGTTGCCCAGGGTGCCCCACGTGGAGGTAAGTCTATCGCGCACCCCAATTCAATATATATATATATATATATATATATTAACGAATTAGTTCGGTCAGGATTATAGCCTACTACCTGGAGCCGTCAAGTAAATGAGATTAAATTTCTTTTATAATAATGAAGGTGAGATAAAGATGATTCCACAAAAATAGAGGTGTTAAGATGCTAACAAAATAATTCCTTCGCAATAAGCTATTATCGTTTGGCCATGTTAAAAGGGTTTATATTCCCCAAAACTGTGGCAATTTCCTATTCAACTGTTATGTGAGTAAATACCGATGAGTATTAACACATAGGAATTGGTTAACCTCAAAGAAGTCTGTCTTTTAGAAAGACGTACTATTGGGTGGGCAACTAAGTCATTGCCGTTTTTGTTGACAGATTCACTCTATACTTTCTTTTGTTTTGTTAACGTGGCCAGAGCATCTAACCTATATTTTTTTCCTACTGTATGGGCTTCTAGGTTAATTAGTAGAAAATATTTTTTGTTTAGTTCTTTAGTTTTGTTTTTATCCCAATTTAAAAATGAAAGAACAGGACGAGCACTTCCGACACATTTTATTGTATTACTTCCGAAAAGGCAAGAACGCATCGCAAGCACAAAAGAAGTTATGTGCCGTATATGGAGATGAAGCCGTGAGGAAGAAAGGCAGTGTCGAAATTGGTTTGAAAGATTTCGTTGCGGTGATTTTTCACTGAAAAATTCACAACGATCTGGTCGGCCAGTCGAAGTGGATGAAACCCATATCAAGGCCATTATCGATTCAAATCGTCACAGCACAACACGAGATATTGCAGAGAAGCTCAATGTGTCGCATACATGCATTGAAAAAAAAAATTAAAAACCCTTGGTTATGTCAAAAAACTTGATTTATGGATCCCTCACCAGTTAAAGGAAATTCATTTGACGCAACGGATTAGCATCTGTGATTCGCCGCTACTGAAACACAATGAGAATGATCCATTTCTGAAGAACCTAGTTACTGGCGACGAAAAGTGGATAGTTTATAACAATGTTACTCGCAAGAGATCATGGGTGAAGCAAGATCAACCAGCCCAAACAGTATCAAAAGCAGAGATTCACCAAAAAAAGATTATGCTGTCAGTCTGGTGGGATCAAAAAGGAATTTTGTATTTTGAACTCATGCCGCAGAACCAAACGATAAATTCAAATGTGTATGTTGAACAACTCGAAAAACTGGAGGATGCAATTGAAGATAAGCGGCCGGCATTATCAAATCGGAAGGGTGTTATTTTCCATCATGATAACTCAAGGCCCCACACATCTTTGGTTACTCGGCAAAAATTATTGCAACTGGGTTGGGATGTTTTGTCACACCCACCATATAGCACTGACCTTGCGCCTTCGGATTACCATTTGTTTCGTTCCAAGCAAAACTCTTTAAATGGTAAAATTTTTAACAACGCGGATGATGTCGGATCACACCTAATTCAGTTTTTTAATAGCAAAGACCAGACATTTTACGAAGGGGGAATTTTTACTCTGCCAGAACGATGGAAAAAGGTCATCGACAAGAACGGCCAATATCTAATAGAATAAAGTTATATTTTTAAAAAAAAATTCCGAATTTGCCTTCTTATTTGAAATCGGCAATGACTTAGTTGGTGTATACATCACTCAATTTCCTAAAGCACCAGTGCGAACTTCCTTATTTCGACCATAAGCATGCAATAAGCCAAACTTCATTCAGCTACCTTGGATGTAATATTACTACTCAGGTCATTTCTTCAGTTTCATGGAAGATAGTTGGATTTAGACTGATTGATTTTAGGATATTGAATTCATTTAGGACACGAAAAGTGAGGAGGCTAATAATCTCCCACAGAGTTAATCCGGCTTTATGGCGCGTTGTTGGTGGCGGATGGTGATGGAGTCGTGTATCACAATTTAATTACCCACGCCTTTAAACTCATTTATATGCAAATTTGCACCAAAATGGTTAGTGATGAGACAGGGAAGAGGGAGATGATTGGTGGAGGGGTGGAGGGGTGGAGGGGTGGAGGGGAGGGAGGAAGACGTTACTAACACAACTCCGTTCATATCCTCTCGACCATTCTTAGCGGACTGATTTTTGCCGGCGCAAACTGGGATTATTATTAATTAGCTTATTAATAGAGATTTGATAGCTAAATTTAAATTTCCTTAAACATAGTGTTCAAAAAATCAAGCATCTTGAACATAATTGGTAATTAATTTTTAGCTGTAAACTAAAATGCAAATTGATGATAAATTATTTACTGATCTTAATTTTAGAAGATGTACGTAATTTTAAATTAATTGAAGTTCTAATCGTTGGAGCAAAGAAAATGTTCAATTTATTCCTACCGCACATATTAAATATGTCTATGAATCTGAAATTGCTATTTTAAGTTATAATTGTTTAAACTATTATTTTGATATGAAGACTTGATCAAACGGCAAAGAAAGTGAAAATGCATTTTACTGTTTTATAATTCTTTTGCCTTAAATAAATCATACATAGGTTCTTCTGTAATGAGAGATAATAGCCAAGTTACAAATAGGCGATATTTTTAACTAATGGCTCTCTAAATTTTAAGATCAGATTATCGGATTATCAGATTATTATTTGGAACTTGAACCGTTTGTACTTCCAATTGGCCAATGAAAACTGGAGCGTATATACAGAGCAGCTTTGTAGAGATCGATAAAACATATCTTCCTCATTGATCAAAAGTAAAAAGGCTCTGTTCTTTTGTGCCGAAGGTTCCTTGCTAGTAATCTTTAAATCATAGTATTATTACTAGTCAGTAAATAACTATTGGGAAGTGGCACTTCATTCATGATTCATTGTGCTGCGTAATAAAAAATGAAATCGAATTTAATATCCCTTGTGATGTTGCAAACCAAACTAAAGAGAGTAGAACGTTTAATTTATGTTGGATGACCACTTTCTCTAATGATAAAAATTTAAATCCCTTATCAATTTTCTCAACCACTCAGATGTCCTATTTAAGCAGTCAACATTATTAATCATTTTGTCAATAGATCTACCTACTTTGTCAGACATTTAGAGATCCGAATGGTTCTTAAAATTCCAAAACTTACTATTTTCTCTGCTTTTGGCTTCGATTTAGCCTATTTTTCAACAAATATTACAGAAATACAATATATGAGGAAATATAGTCTGTTAGTTCATAATTACGTGCTGCTCATAAACATAATATCTAATGATATAAATTACACTTTGAACCAATAGACGGCTTATTTTGTTTGATGTGTAGTGTATAATCATGAAATTCAAGGAAAAGTAAAGAAAATTACATTTAGATAAATTAAAAATATTTTGTTGGAATATAAATAAAATAAACAAATAAAACTATATAATTAATCATTAAATATTTTTTAATTAATCATTATTTTGTAATCTTGACAGATTAATTCGAATTTGACTTTAAATCATCCTATTATTCATATAAGTTAGTCATTGACCAATAGGTCCCAGGTTCAAATTTCGCTTTTCCGTGCTTGTGTTCGTTGTTTTCTAAAATGGGCGTCGAAGTCGAAGTTATTAAGGAAGGAAACCAGAGTGATTATCCAAAAAAGGGGCAGACTGTTAAAGTTCATTACACGGGTACTTTGACAGATGGTACAAAATTCGATTCCTCGCGTGACCGTGGCAAGCCCTTCGAATTTAAAATCGGTTGTGGCCAGGTTTGTTGAACATATTTTACTAGAACGCTGTCTTCGATAGGTTATCAGAGGATGGGACGAAGGTGTTGCTAAAATGAGCCTTGGTGAGCGATCCAAGCTCACCATCTCTCCTGATTATGGCTACGGTTCGAGTGGTGCTGGCGGTGTTATTCCGCCTAACGCAACTCTCATTTTCGATGTTGAACTTATTTCCTTCAAGTAAATGTTCTTAAATAGATACATTAAAACAGTTTATTGTGCTCTTCGTTTTCCCTCTTGGTTGATTGGCACACGTTTAGTTTGCGAAACAATAATGTGCGGCACACTTTGCTATTTCTGTTTCACTGGTATTATGCCTCCGTAAGTCGACTCAGGAGGTAGTGGTACAATATGGTTAGAAGAATTAATGCTGTATCCCGTCTGATTATTGAGATTCAGGTGCTATATATAGTTCAGTTTTTTTTGTGGTATCAGGTTCAAGCGTTTGTCTAAGAAGGCGGTTCTATAGTTGGGCGTCTGCCTTGTCGTCTAATACATGAGTTATTTGGTCTTCTGGGGGCAATTGGTTTTACCAAATTTGACATTGCGTCTCTATGATAAGAACACCGTTTTTATCTACCGAGTGATGATTGGCTGATGCTGCCGAGGTAGTGAGTACCTCAAATGTTTATGTGACAGCTTAGTTTTAAGCGCCCTTTCTATTAAAGCTCTCGTTAGACCCACTATCTGAATTTCTACCTTCTGAAGCATTTTATTATCCTACACGTCTTATAGTTATTCCAGTAGCTCCTTGAGAAGTCGGTTTGTAGCTTACAACTTCTCCCCCTTTTGGATTTGTCTTTATTGTGAATTTGTACCCTCGAGGAGATTCCCTCTCGCATTAATGTAAGGGTAATGGATATGATAAGAGCTGGAATTACTACCAACTATGATCACAAATGTATAGCAAATGGTAGGCTTTATGATGGTCATTAGCTCTCTCTTGTTGACTTCGGGCTTTATAGTGGCAAAAGAGACGGGCTCAAAGGTAGGGAGAAGGGTAAGGTGAGTACTGAGAATGTAGTGGGATGTGGCACAGTCTGGTCATGGTAATTTGAAGTCAGAAGCCAACTGCCGATTTATAGGCTTTTTTGCCTTGTGAGTATACGTTGGCCGGGCTGCACCACGTGGAGAAAAGTCTATCGCACACCCATGTTCACAAATTAAATAATAAGCATTAGGTATTTTGATCTCAATTTTAAGCCGACTTGACCTCGTTTAGATGTCGGATGGCATGCTTTCCGCGTGCAAACATGTTCAAAATGTGATTAGGAAAAAAAGTGGCATGCGTGTTGATTGACGTCCTTTTCACAGTTCATTTTTAGCTTATTTAAATGCGTCGTTCATTTATTTTTAATTGGCACAATCCCGTTAATGGTGGCCGTGTTTTTTGAACTTCACAATTGGGATTGGCTTGGCGCCTGACGATTCGCTCCTCTTAGTCTGTGAATCTTTTATTACGACGAAATCTTATGTTCCTATCAATCTGCGGATTCGCTGATGTCTTTACACCGATAATGTTTGTAGGGCTGCTTGTTAATTTATAACGATGGTATCTGAGGGTAGCACTTATCGAAGGGGCTATTTTGTTGTATGAGGTTTCACTCACCATAAAACTGAAACCAACCGAGAATGCTGCAAGTCGTGTCTTCTTTGTTGACAATTTGTAATTTTTTTCCTTTTTAGAGACAGAAATCGGTAATGTTGGCTGCTTAGTGGCAACAATTCGATCAAACCATAGACTCCTTTAATGTCTTTGTTCTTATGTATTAGCTTTGGTTTTAGAATACTAGGTCGAAATGTCATAACAGACCCCAAGACGCAGTAATTTTGATCTGGTATTTATTACTACTGTGCAAATTTATTGAGTCAAATGGTGTTATTGAATTGACTTTGGAACTTAATCGATATTAGGAATTGTCCATCGATTCGTTCCTAGTCTTCAACTTTAGCTTTAATCAATTTCAACTATGACTCATACCTCTTGAGAGTTTCTTAACTATTTAAGTACTGATTACTACTTTCAATATCGATTGAAATCCTTAACGGTGACGTAATTGCTCACAACTTTACGCAAATTATCCTTTACAAGAAAATGGAGGCTGCTCCTGAAAAGTTTTAATGAACAATGCTCGAATAATCTTCGCCGCTACTCTAAGAGAGACGTTTTTGTTTGTCCAAATATTTTAGTGGTAGAAGAAGACATCAAGAGATGTTGGGAGTTTATGGAAAGGAAGACTATCTACAAATGAGTAATTATCTGACTGCTTGATCAAACTATTACCAAGGAATAGCCTTCAAACCTATTTAAGAGGGATTTTGCCAACACTCACCTTGAACAGAGATGTGGTACCATTGAGTCGTATTGGTAGAAACTTGAAATTTGTCATCACTTTAGTAATCAGACTTAATTACTACTCATGGACGAATCATCCACTGCGTGTGTTTGCCGGTAGACTTCTTGTTATCGATGTGGAGGTCTGTTACGCATCACCCATCTAGCCTAACCAGCTTGTTGATTATTTAAATAAATCACGGCGTTAAGAGCAGGATTGGCAGAGTGAAAATTTTGACTCAGAATGGGAGAATCACATGTCTAAAATCTAGACCAACAGCTCCAATTAACTCCATTAATTGAATTTTATCAATTTGTGCCTTTTATTTAGCCTAGAAAACTCAATATTTTCCTGAATCAAGAATGACTTCGTTCGTGAAAGGGAAACGAAAAATAAGCATTTCCACACAGCTCAGGCGAAAGGTAGACACAATTTTGTATTTAGCGCTAACCAATTAGTGAAGAGAACGTCAGAAATTGCGTGCTAATTTTAAAGTACTCAGATAAAGTTGATCTGGCTGTCCTATTTTAACTTAAGTAAGGAACGCTACTGGGCTGGACTCCAAGGCGTTTGCCCCAAATATGACCTTGCATTGGGATCTAATCATTAAGTTCAGTTGGACTATTCAACTTCTTTATCATTTTTGTGAATAGCGAATGAGTATTATTCCATTCTGTAACCATTCACTCCAATATCGGAGTTAAAAAAAATCATTTGATATGGGAAAGCCTGTTGTCTTAGAATCTATGGGAAGGCATACATGGCTGAATTCGTGTGATTTGAGATGACGCTGAACTTCCAGTTTCAATACGTTTATCATTAACCATCAAATCCAATGGGGACTTTAAGAATTACTACGTATTTCCGCTCATCCCTATTTCTAAATGGCCATTTGATTAACAAACGCGTTAAGCGGTTTGGAGTATAAGCACTTTCTCTTTGTTTGCATATCGATCTCTAGATTACTCACAAACTCTCGCTAGATCTAGTCGAAAGAGTTCGTAATTTGTCTGAAAGGCTTTAAAGAAATGGTTCCTTAAGTATATCTACCCTTTATTAATGATGATTATTTGCAATGAATAATATTTCTATATCTCGAAATGTGCGATAGACTAACCTCCACGTGGTGCACCCCGGGCAACGTATACTCACGATAGACTTACCTCCAGGTGGTGCACCCTGGACAACGTATACTCAAACGGCCCTCCACGTGGTGCACCCCGGGCAACGTATACTCATACGGAAAAAATTATATTAACCTGCAGTTGACTTCTGACTTCAAACTACCATAACCCCACTGTAAGTCATATTCGACCCCTTGCACAGTACTCACCTCACCTTTTTTCTACCTTTGTGTCTGGCTCTTTTACATACGTGAATTATTATCCTGTCCCCCTTCTCGACATTTTTCTCCTTGATGCTCCTTCCCATTTGTGAAGCCTGAAGTCAACTAAAGGACTAATGATAACCATCAAAACGCCTGCCATTTGGTATAGATAAATAAATATATATTTCTATATCTTTTTATTAAGATCAAAATAAAATCTACAAACTTGAAGCTTTGACTTTGTTCTCTATTCAAAATAAAGAATTTGACAGTATAACTAGTATAGTAAGGTGTTAAAAATAACATACCTGTCTAGAAATTTCGTATTTTAGAGGTCAGAAGGTAAAAGATTTACTTGACAAAATTTGAGTTTCATTAACCTTTGCATGAGCTATTGTTGCCCTCAATTTTCACTGCATATTGATTGAATGAAAAGTTCTATATAAATATATATATATATATATATATATATATATATA